CAGAACCCAACCCAGCCATCACTGCAGGTGAACAATCCCCACACCACATCCCACATGGGCAAAACAAAGGAGCAGAGATAAAGATTGTTTCCTCTTCTTCTCTCTGTGCTTCTCCTGAGAGACAGAATGATGTCTCTGTCCAAAGGATGTGACTGGCACAGCCCTGGGCAGGCTGGGGGTGGTGCCCCAGGAGAAGTGACCTTTCTTTGAGCTGGGCAGTGCTGGTGCTGCCAGCTCAGGTGCTTTGGGCTGCACCAGCAGCTGCTCAGGCAGCTCAGAGGAGCCTCAGAGGGTGGAGAAGCCAAGCAAGGCGAAGGTCAGAGCTGAGCTGTGCCCACTGCAGGACAGAGCTGGCACAGGAGAGGTTGGGCCATTCCCAGCCTCCACCATCCCACCTGCTCCACCCACCCAGTCCTGCTCTACCTGCTCATCAGGAGGGGCAGGAGTCCTGCACAGCAGGGAGAGGAACTGCCTGCAGCTGAGCCACAGGGGACAGCAGCTGTGACATTTTGGGAAGGTCTGGGGTGGCTGAGATGGCCCCAGGCAGCACCAGCTGTCAGGGTAGCTCCTCACTGTGCCAGTGACGTTGTCCTTGGGATCACTTGGACCTCTCATGGTCCTTTAGGATCACTTGGAACTCTCATGGTCCTTTAGGATCACTTGGAACGCTCAGGGTCCTTGGGATCACTTCGATGTCTCATGGTCTTTGGAATCCTTGGGATCACTTGGACCTCTCATGGTCCTTGGGATCACTTGGATCACTTGGAACTCTCATGGTTCTTTAGGATCACTTGGAATGCTCATGGTCCTTGGGATCACTTGGAACGCTCAGGGTCCTTGCAATCACCTGGACCTCTCATGGTCCTTTAGGATCACTTGGAATGCTCATGGTCCTTGGGATAATTTGGACCTCTTGTGGTCCTTGGGATCCTTGGGATCACTTGGACCTCTCATGGTCCTCTGGTTCCTTGGTATTGGAGTGTCTTGGTCACCTTCAGGAGATTTTCCATAGTTTGCTGAGCAGTGAAGGAGCCTCTGAGGTTTGGACAAGCCATAAAAGAGTTTTTGGAGGCTGGAGGTTTCTCTTTGCTCGTGACACAGCCGGGGTTGGCTCATACACGGGGTTATTTTCTTCTCCCACCTCACCCTGGCTGCACAGGCTGGATTCCCCTCTGGAGGTGGGGTTGCATGAGCATTGATTTTCTCTCTATAGCAAAAGGATTTACTGCATCATTTATGTCCTTTAATGGTAAATTAAAAAAAAAAAAAAAACAACAAAAAACCCACAACCCAAAAACAAACAAAAAACCCAAAATAAATAAAGAAACCCCAAAACCTACCTTTTTCTGGTGAATTTTCAGAGGCAAATCCTATTTCTTCCCATTATTTTCTCCTTGTTATTTTGCCATACAGACAAAATAGCAAGAACATGAGAAGCTGTGTAAAACAAAAAAGATCTTTAGAGAGTTTCCAGACAGAGCTGTGGATGGTGGGGCTTGCTCCACTCATCCTGAGTTGCCCCCACCTAGTGAGTCTCTCAATTTAAGCAATGGAAACTGTGCAAAAAGAAACCAAAAGCTTTCATTAAATTCCCTCTTCCTTCCCCATTACATACCTGGGGTCAGACTTAAGGATTTTACTCCACCTTTATGAGACAAGATGGAAAAGAACCGTGGCTCTAAACTTTGTTCTTTGGTTTAAAAAGAAATTCTGCCCAGGGAAACCCCAACCCAAAAATGAAGTGTTTGGATTTTTGGGTAGCAGCAAACTCCATTCTACCTGTGCAGAAGAGATTTTTTCCCTCAAGGTGGCACAAGAGGAACAAAAGTGCAACAAGCCCCAGTTCTGGGTGGGGAGCAGGTGAAGGAGCTGTGAGTTTTGAGCTCACAGCATCATATTTTGGGCTCAGGAGGTCTCAGAGAATGGCTCCTTTGCTGTATGTGTCTTCATAACAGATATTTTCTACTTAAAAGAAAAGACAAAAAAAAAAAAAAAAGGTTTTCCAAATAATCTCCTTAGAATTGGAGTGTTATTATCCAATTAAATAGGAAATACTGTAAGGGCACTGTAATTGGGCTGTGTGTTGTTTTTAGAGTGTGAAAATGATAGAGGGAAGAAATACAACTTATATTAGTGTTGTTTTCTTAACATTATAGTCCTGATTCAGTCTATTCCCAGCGTTTTCATGGAATAGCAAAATACAATCATTTTTCATTCGATTTCCTAACATGCAGAAAGAAAATGAAAAAACTTGAGTCCATTCAGCAGTTTCTCAGAGTGAGGGGCAAACAGCAACACCTTTTTCCTTCATTTATTCCATGCCATCAAGTATAATTTCATAACAGAACTGAGGGAACACAACGATGAGAGAGGGCCGTGGTCCTGAGCCCAAACCACGCTGTTCCTCCCCAGTGTGCTGGGTAACCAACCACCCTGCACCGATTGTTATGGTGCATTATTACACTCATCAAGGTGTTTTTCTCCTTCCCTGTGTCCTTTTTGTCTTGGAATTTCTGCCAGTCCCACTCAGGGCATGGTTCCCCCTCCCTAAGGCAGGGTGTGGCCTCTTGGCCGTGGTGCAGATTGTGGATTTTGCTCTCACAGCTCCATGAGTCTCTACGAGCAGCAGGGTTGTGCCAAGGGGGTGATGCTAAATAAGGAAAGGATCAGCCTGTTGCTCAATTAGCCACGGTGGCTAATGAGGGCCACACTGGGGCTGCCCAGCCCATGGGGACACCGTGCACAGCACAGCCCCAGGATGCTCCTCGTGGGCAGCAGCTTCATGGATGATGGGTGAGGATTTGGGGTGAGGAAAGCAAAACCAAAGGGAAATTTTCTTCCTACCTGCCTAGAAAGAGGGAAGATATTTTCCACCACTTTTCTGGCAGGATTTGGAGTGATCTTAAGATTGTGGTGGCCACAAAAACAGTCAGGTGGGCGCAGGGAGGGACTCCCTGGCAGGCAGAGCTGCTGTGCCTTGCCAGGAGCTGGCAGAGCCAGCTGGATGTGCTCCAGCTCTTTGGAAAAGATGCACAGGGAGGGGGGGACCACTTCAAGAGCACAGATGAGCTCAGAGAGGTTTCACCTCCTGATTGCCATAGGATAAAGTCCAAATCTCTCTGTATCTGCTCCAAGCCCTGGCTAAGCACCTTACCTAAACCCTGGGCAGGGCCTGGATGTGAGATTCCCGAAAATCAGAGCCCAGCATCAGCCCTGGCTCCGTTCCCATGGGAAGGAGCTCTGTTGGGTGTGCAGGAGCTCCCTCCCTCTGCCTGACGCATCCTGCTCGGATCCTTGCGAAAGCGTTGCACAACCCAGGGAGCCGGGAAGCCTCGGCTGTGGTTTCCAAGGTCCCAGCTCCTTGCAGCGTTTCCCAATCGCTGTGTTTTCTCCTGGGAAGAAGCCCCTCCCTCCCCCCACAGCACCTGGGTGGGTGCTCTCTGTAGCTGCGTGGGACGTCCTCAGCTTTTCCTGGGATGCAAACAGGATACACGCAGGTGCTCCATGGAAAAGCTGCGTTTTGGTGAGGGGTTTTGGCCAGGTTCTGGGTACCACAGGTTGTCACAGAGGTCTAGGGGCTTGGCTTCATCATGGTCCAGAGCAAAATAAATTTGCAGTTTTCTGGACATCGTCCTTGGAGGAAACTTTTCTCCTGCAGAAAACTGCACATCCATTTTTCTCTGGCTGGGAATGACTTTTATTCCCTCGGTGCAGCTTTTACTGTCAAAGGAGGATGTTAATCTCCCAGTTTACACCTCCGGGACAGTTTAAGGGTAAGTGCATCCCGCAGTCACGGTGCCTGGGGGAGGATGTCGCTCTCGTGGGGCAAACCAGAGCGTGATGCTCCCTGACAGGCAGCCATAAATCTTTGGGAATGATGTAACCAGTGCACTTTTATCAATCCTAGAATCACAGAACCGAGCTGGAAGGGACCCACAGGGATTCTTGAAATCCAGCTCTGGACACCGAAGCCCAACCTTAGCTGTGTGTTGGGCTTCACCAGGAAAGCACAAATGAAACTGTGGGTTTTATAAATGACCATTAGAAATCCCCACATGATGTAAACACTTCTAAATCCCGGCGTGGTGCTGACTGGAACATTTGCTAAGGAGAACCATCCCAACCTGGAAGTTTACAAACAAGCTCAGCCGTGCTCGTAACCTGTCCCGGGCGAAACACCTTCCCTATCACCCCGCCGCCGCTCCTCCCGCAAAAATCCTTCGGAGGGCGGAGGAAAAAAACCCAACCTGCTCTTCAGGTGCACATCGAGGTGTGCCTGGTGTCGCAGCCCGGTGTCACACACAGCCAGGCTTCCCGGCCGGCTTTTATGGGCGCAGCTCGGAGGGCGCGCACCTCCGGGGGAAGGCGTGACTTGGCAGCTCCAGGTGCCTCTGTGTCCCTGCAGGTAACCCCGAGCTCCCGGGGAGCCGGAGCCAGCCCTGCCGCTGGTCCCAGCCTGCTTATCCCGCTGTTTCCAAGCTGCTCGCCCCGGTGGTCCCAAGCTCCCGGCCCCGGGGCTCTCCGCAGCGCGGCGCGGCGAAGATGGGCGAAGGGAGCATCACCAAATTCTTCCAGAAAAGGTCGCTCCTCCGCTTCGTGCAGAAATATCAGCCCCTGGGAAGCGGCGAGCCGGAAGAGGAGGTGAGGATTGCCTGGACCTGCTGCAATAGCTGGTGTGGTTGGGGTTGGCTCGGTGCGCTTCTCCTGCTCTGTCCCGCCCGTAACTCGAGATCGCTGCGCTGGCCCCGCTCCGTGCGAGCCCCCGGCAGCGCGGGGATGAGGTGGGTGCTGCTTACCAGGGTCTGCAGTCATGGGGAGCCTTGTTTCTACGCAGGGATCCAAGAGCTGAGGCCCGAATCCTGCCCAGGAGCTTTGCTGCCTGCTCTGGGGAGCTTCTGAACTGAGGAAGAGTGTGGGAGAGCCCTGGAGTGCTGTGGGAGCTCTCTGGAGTGTGGGAACAACAGGGGAAATGGAGAGCAGGGCTCCCCTGTCCCCAGGGCACCCCTGCCACCAGAGCTGGCCACTGGCAGAGGGGCTGTGACCCTGGGGCTGTGACCCTGGGATTTGTGACCCTCAGGCTGTTACCCTGGGTTTTGTGACCCTGGGGTTTGTGACCCTGGGGCTGTGACCCTGGGTTTTGTGACCCTGGGGTTTGTGACCCTGGGGCTGTGACCCTGG